TACACAATAGATATTGCTGATAGAGATTTTCGAAAAAATAGATTTTTCGTATGTTTTACTATTGATCAGCAAATTTCGGCCAATACTTTTTGGTAGTGAGTGTATGTGTTAACTGCCTTCATACAATTGGTAGAATCTTTTATTTCGATACCAATAAGGTTTGAAATCTGCTGATGATCAAACTCATTTGCAATCAAGTGAACTACCATTGGTACATTCAACTGGTCTGCTACTACTACTTTCTGACACATTAGGTATTAGTATGGGCCCATAAGTTCCATTGCTTCTATTGAAATAGTGTGGGAATACATGTCGACATTCCTGCCTAGACTCAACAGTATCTCCCATGGTATCAATTCGGAACAGTTGCCCCAGGGATGGGAACATTTGCAATATTCTTCCAGCATTTGGACAAGAGCCAAACCCTGATATTAATATATCTTCAAATTTTCCATCCTCAATTTTGCCACATCCATATTCAATTTTAATAGTGTCTTTCTCATTACTTGTCGATTTGGTGGACCACAATGAACTGAAGCTCTGAACAAGAAATTGTTCACCTTCCCCTCCTTGTTCATGGTGTAAGATAAGCTGATTGTTTTCAGCCAGAACAGCTTGCCCACCTTTGTCTGTACCATCTGGCTCAACTGCTCCATTTTTTGAGCATAAGAGGCAATAAGCGTCCCACACCATTATGGTCAGTACTGGTTGGAAGGGGCCAACCAGCCTTTTTATTTTGGGTTGTGGGGCACAGTTATCTTGTGACTATGGGAAATAAATTCGTTAAACACGTCCAAAGAACAAGTATTTTTTGTTGTCCGGAGCACCATTACTGTTTACGCATGAAAAAATTTCGATCCACATGAATTGCACATGATCTCGACCAATGACTGTGATTGATGATGATAATCACGTTATTTATTATCTCATCCCAATATAAACTGGTAATATGATTGAGCTCAAAACATCATTACAACATGAAGAGGACCAATTACACTTGCTAGGACAGTATACTGACTCTTCAGAAGGTGAAATTTTAGTGGTCTGTTTTTCATCAAATCACAGGAGCAGTCTATTTTGTTTCTCATGGCTCAACCATAAGTATTAATATTAAAGTATTATCATCAAAAGCATTTTACACTCAACACAGATATACGCAATGTCATTGTAATAGTTATTACTCATGTTGTAAGATCCTGTTTTGTAATAACAAAAGTAATTAAACTTCTTTCTCTTTCAAATTACAATGCCATTCCTTAACTTGATAGCTTGATGTTCCAATTTCATGCTGTTGTTGTACGAGCGGTGTTGTAGTCGTTATTATTAATGAATCTCCATCATAAAAAAAGTATGATATTCTTCCGTATCCCATACTGCAAAATCACTTGAGTTCAGTCCGCACTTCTTCTTTTTCTTTGAAGACATTGGAGATCATAGTGAACGCTAGTTGAATATTTCCAATTGTAAGTTTATTAATTGTTTTCCATCGTATTGATTCAATCATATAGGTATTATCCCAGAGTTATTGCATTATTCCGTTGGAGCCTTCGACCATATCCTATGCAGGAAAATGTGCAGAACTCACATGTGATGCTTGGTATTTAAGTTTACTAGCACATATAGGTTTGGAGAAAAAGATAAAGCTGAACAAGATACTCAACATATTAGGCGTCTATGTATGCAAAACAATCTTGAGCACTTTGATGTGGAATGGTTTAACATTCTAATATGAATCAAGAAGACATTATTAGCTAAGTTGATAATTTCGCTTAAAATTTCCTATTGCTTATGCTGTACTGACCAAACTTTGGAAACGATAAAATAATTCCAGCAATCTTGTGCCAAGAAAGAAAAAAAACATATTGGCTCCGTGAATACTTCTTTCACGTCCAGTATTCCTCCAAACATCCGTGTCGTATACATACGTTCTGCGTACAAATTTACAGAGTTCGACGCAATGTCATTAATTTTTGCTGGTGAGAAATCTAAACGCAGGAAATTGGCACGAGGTAATGGAGGGAGATGTTAGATTTCTCCGAAACGAGGTTATTAATTGAAGTGAATATGTCACGCGTTGTTGCGTAGCAATTGGCATGTATGCAGACAGCATATATTTATTGTCTTATAGTATTTACATAACGTTCGTCATCGTCTGCCTTTCCTGCCTTTCTTTTTCGATGATCCTGATCGAATAACTGGTGTGCTCGCAGAAGCAGATGCCGCAGATCCGCTGGCTGCAGAGCTAGAAGATGATGCCACTGAACTACTCCCTCCACTCTCCCGCAACAATCCTGATGGTGCAGCAGGAGAATGCTTCGGAGGATATTCCTGAGGATTTTGCTGGATGGTTCGCAATAATTTGGCTACACGCTTCATCAATTCCTTCCCTTTAGTAATGTAAACTTTGTGAGAATGTGATCAAGCGAGGTAGTTTCTTATGAAATTAGAATACAAACTTGTTTTAATCGTGGGGTCTACTAGGGTGTTGTCCTCCATTTTCAATTGTACGCGTAGTCTACCCGGATTCTCCCAATCACGGGGATGTCTCTTGTGTGGCTGCAAACAAAATATCTATTGAGCAGCACATTGTTAGAAGACATCAACGAAAGGTCCTATCACGCACCTCAAAAAACAACGACAATTGTAATGCTTTGATAGATTCAGCCAGGTCTTTTGCTAAAGGATGGGGTACGGATAAATCTTTAACGATTTTTCGACCCTGTTTAACGGATTTCGTAGAATCAAAGTATACGGGATATAGACAGATCCATCTGCAGAAAACGAGTAATGAACAATGGATACTTTGTGATCGAAGACATTTGCAAAAATTACCACTATTTACGATTTATATGCACTGTCATCCTTCACTGTTGTAAAGGATGCATTGGGAAGTAAGTCTGACATGAGCTCGCTTGGATCGTAGTCGGGTGGGTCATCGTATTCCGAAGGTTTGGATTTTCTTGACATTTTTAATATACCAGGAAATGAACAAAAGATTTTATGGGGTTTATTGAAACTGTGAGTTACGTCATCATAGGGTACAATAATAAATCGGGTATCACAACAATCAATTTATTATTACTTCGATAAAGATAATGAAAGTACTGGGTCTTTTAGAAATTAAATTATAGACAGTTTATACATTAAGATGACATGCATCATGCTCACAGACACTTTGAAAGACGTCAGTTGTTAACGTAAATATAAATTGGATTCGAAGGTTAATATAATTTCGAATCGCGAGTGTCAATGGAGAAGCCATTTATGGAATAAACATTCCATACACCGGACAATAACAAATCTTTATAAAATGAGGAGAAACCCGCATATTATAACAACTAAGAACTTTGCGAATAACCAGAGAACTCGTAATTGATTCCCAGCTCTTTCATCTTTTCCCTTCTCTTGTTATCTTTTCGTATAAGGCGATTTGCCATGTCGGATATTTCTTTAGCGCTTCGTCTTCTATTAAACTTGTTTGCGGCTACTTTAATAGCCAAACCGGGTTTTATCTTTTTGCCAAGCCCACACCATATCATTGGATGAACTTTGTCCTTTGGCACCACATTGCCTAAAGATATCATCAAACAAAATTAGCATGCATGTATAGAATGCTTAGCAAACAATTTAGAGATTACATCACTAACATTGAAGTAAATGATTATGCAAAAGATAATTATTCATAGTCTCGGCAACAATCTGAGCTACCTCCGCAGATTCAAATTCTATAAACGCAAAATGCCGCGACTTCCCTGTCTAATATTATATATGGGAAGACGTCAAAAACGAATATGCATAAGCAGTATATGTTACCAATACAAATTGATCATTGGCAAACCTTTTTGTTACGAGATAATTTCAGTTTGTTAATCTTCCCAAACTGGCTGAAATACTCGCGCATTTCTTTCTCATAGAATCCATGTGGTATTCTACCTACATAGACTACACCCGGCTCGGCTACGTCTAGTCCCGGCTCAGCCAGGGATTCCTGTTAAATAATAATATTATTAAGGCCATCAGAATAGCTAGTAGGTTAACCACAGGTTGCTATAGGCTTTGATGTTTGACCTCGCTTGCAGAGCTTTCTTGCGATCGTTCTTTCATTGTGATATTGTGTTTATTGTTTGCCGAAACTTTTTTTCGATTTATCGGACAAAATCACATGATTAAATTATCCGCGGCAAAAAGTCACGTTTTCGCCAATACCCGAAATTTACGCACTTTGATGCTATTGAGATGTGAACCTCATAATAGATACCAAAGCTCCTGTGAGCACTAAATATAAACTCTTTTGGGTTTATGCCAAAGTTCTATTCCACAACTCAACTGGCATTCAGCAAGTGCACTGTCGAGCCAATATACCTGGGAGAGTGTTGGTATACGGGCCTTGAGATTTATGCTCTTTTCAAACGGAACCCTTTCGATATTCCTACTTAGAGATAAATCTATGTGATAATTAGCGACGTTAGCTACGATTTATACTCATGATATAAATATCGGTCTTCTACTGGATGATTATTTAACCTCGAACTCTAAGTCGATTTTTTTAACGAGATGAGATTAAAAAAGCCTTTCGATCGGGGAATATATGCATACGAATTAAATAATAATCCTGAATTCGAAACTTCCTTTAAAATTGAGAGCGAGTATAATCTCAGGAATTTGCGGTCGGAGAATACGTTTTAATCCTCATAGTTCACAACTATACCGCGATTGTTCTTTACCAGAAAATATTAATACGAGCGAGATAAATAATTATCTTTTAACATGGTCTTTATAGAACATAAAGGACTATTTTAAGCAAAAAATTATTGAAAACAAACACAAATTGATTTAGCTGAGGGATATTAAAGGTAATAATATTCTGCTATTATTTAAGCTACTTACTTTTATAACTATACTACGGCGCGTAGAATCTATCCCAATTCGGACTTATTTCTATCTTCCTTCCTAATGGGTCCATTTTTTTGCCCCTGGCAGTATTTGCAGCCGCAGCCATTGTATCGCAGAGCGAAAATCACGTCACGATTATCCGTTGGTCCTTACAGCACATATTTGAGCATTTGCACATCTCTATGAAATTATTACGCATTAATGACCGAAACTGTCGATTATTAATTATGGAACAATAAAGCTAAATGTGTAACCAACTAGAATTATTATTGAGAAGCTCAACACTCTAGAGTCATTTCAGCAGAATATTGGTGTAAACTTTGAATCAGTCAGAAGGCTTTATTACAATTTTGTTAGTAATTTGGGATATGGCAAGATATGAACTAACTCGCTGAAACGGGATCTCTTTTAGAATCGAAGGGAGTTCAGTCACTCTTGTTTTCTGGTAAGATGAAGTTGGCCTAATATGGTGTTTTTTCCCGGAATCAAGTCAGTTATAATGAATTTGGGCTCGATATTATAACCTTGCGATATAATGTTGTGCGATTCATAGATTCATATAGTAATAGAACCAAGTATAGTAAAAACATCTCCATATAACAAGTGTGATGATTATCACATACAGTCAAAGCTCGGAAAACCGATAAATGCTAAAATCGATAATTTTTCCAATTCCCAAAACACGTATAACAAAATTCGCTCGGAAAACCGATATTTCATATAACATCGCGCAATTCCGATAACCAATATTATTTTGTCAAATTCGTATAAAAATTTAAGCTCGATAAACCGATATAACCAATAGCAAAGCTTTATCTGCTACACAATATCTGGCATTATTTAATACTAATATTAATTAGCAGACACACTTCTTTGCATATGTTCCTATCAATATTTATGATGCAATACGTTATTGTGACGAAGCTTGGAATGCGTTACTATTACTGATACAACTATTCACAATTGTTGGAAAACTGGTAAGATTCGCCCATAGTGTTAATATCAGAACGATAACGTGATTGAAGACATACAGCATTGTATTACTCAGCTAGAATGGATGAACCGTTGTTGGCTATTAAGTATATTTGTATTGATGAGTAATTACCTATTGAACGTTTACCGATAATGATATTATTGCAATCCGTACAGAACGCCGAAGAAGGCAAAAAAAAAAGTGACAAGGAATATGAACCACAGCTTATAATTTTATTAAAAACAGCTTTAGCAGGTGGACAACCTAATGTCATTTGTCAATAATCCGCCCAGTGGCTTCGTTATTATCAGTTCTGCGTTCATTGAAATCAGAAATTTCGCGCGATATTCACAGTTCTTAATTTACTATCTACTATATGTAATTGCTTCCACCAATCAAATGTAATAATCTCTCAAAACCGATACTACGTCTCTATATCGGTTTTTCGAAATTTATTCGCAAAACTGATATTTCGGAAAACCGATAGAAAAAGACGAAAACACTGCTATCGGTTTTCCGAGCTTTGACTGTAGTTGGTATTGTCAAAAGCATTTTTCACCTACGATATAGATAGAATAGTTTGTTTGGATAAAGAAATCTTCGCTTGATATAACGATTTTTACGTGACTTATTACAAGACCTCTCATTGTAATGACCTTTCGATAATATAAACATTTTTGTCCAGCCCGACGGCTTTATACAAAATTTGATTTACCGTTATATTTATTATTAAGTTAACTCCGTTTTTGCACGAAAGAACAAAGTATGTATTATCCAAAGAGCTTGCTGCCAATCACAGTTCCCGATTAAACTATAACCTTATCTCTGTGTAGTTATATTTACAATATGCAAACTATAAGTATAACTATACAAACTCGTTACTGGCCTACAGTGGCGACAATCGACAATGCGCCCGACTATTATGGCTGGAATATTAGTCATTAACGCATGCGAAAAGTTGCAAAAAAAAAAAAGAAACTTTGCTGTCGTCTCCCGAATATAACCAGTTTCTGCTATAACGGTCCAAATCTTCAGGATGGCTTTTGGCAATGAACTTTTGGACGAAATTGTCATATTATTATAATAAAAATTTTCTCTTTATAATATCACAATAAGTAAACCTTCTAAATAAAATAAATAAATAAATCCAGAGTTTCACTCACTATTTACAGTGAAAGGAAATTGCGGAATATTTGTTTTCAGATTTCGTGAAACAGAGTGGTTAGCTTCAAAACGGTCTTGCCAACACGCCTTTCGCTTTGCGAGCTAGTTCTGATTTTCAAACTAAGCCCAATTTGGTTTGTTTTGAATAGAGATGAATATTTTTTTGTTCAAAGTTTGTTCATCGAAACCACTGGCTTGAATTTCAGGTGAACAATACAGATTGTACCAGGCGAAAGTATGGTAATCAATCTTTTTTAACTTATGCAAATGTTTGTATAATAAACTTAAAACTGAAAAAACCTAACAACAAAGACTAATGCTACAACTTTTATTAGCGAACGGTGTCTAATTTTAATTTTGCCAGCTTTCGCAATGAACTGACAATATCGTTCACATAAGCGTAGCTGGATGCCAATTCGTCGCGAAATTTCTTTGGCGTTGCGAACTTTTTCTTCCATAAAAGGTTAACGATATATCGATATAAACAAAGATCTCAATTTGGGGAAAGGCTAAAGCGGAGCAGAACGTGATCCTGTATTTGCAGTTTTATTGGCTGCCATACAAATTTGACCAATGGAATTGCGAGGAATCTGCTCCGCTTTAGACATGCCCCAAATTTGGAACGTGTTTGTGCTACTCCCAAAACATCCTCCTTTCGCCGGTTTTGAACACTAACATTACGCACAGTTTACCAGCTGGGTCTTTTGTGTGTACCCATGCTCATACCAAAATTGCTGCTTAAATGCTTCAACAGAATCTATGCAAGAGACGTGAGTGGGAATGGATGAACAGACTTTATGTAGAATTCTTTACAATTCGGCTTATGGACGATGAAGATGAGCTGACAATAAGAAACGAGTAACTTGTCAACAAATATTGCCATATTGCTTCTGGGTTTCAATGACAAAATTTGGTTTTACACATAAGATTTATTTGAACACAATACTGCAATTTTGCTAAACTGATTTTAATTTAACATGCTAAACGAAAGAATTTGTTTGTGTATGTTGAAGTTTGTTCACGTATCAACATCCATGTAATCCGTCGTATTGACGTTTCCAATAACCGGTTCATCATCAGAACTACTCAACATATCGGATTCACATTCTTCCTCCGAATCACTCGTAATGGTTTGCATTACATTTAAGGGTGGGTCGTCTTCTATCTTAATATTATTATCGCTACTTTTTAATCCATCATCGTCTGTCACCTCTGATCCACTCGCAAGCTCTCGTTCACCGTCTTCCCATACTTCGTCTTTAGCTGGTTTCATTCCTTCATCGCTTTCTTCTTCATTATTATTGTCTTGTTCCCCATATACAGCTTTCAATCGGCTGCGAATGCGTAAACCAATTACAAGCTTACGCCATTTACCTAGTATCTCTTTCTCCCTTTTGGCATTAGCTGTCGCTTCTATGTGAGCCGTATATTCCACCCAAGCCTAGTTACCATTGCGAGGTTTCCCATTAGCATGTTATGGTGTTTGTTACACAGGGTCAATAAAATTCTTCTTGAATAACAGGTCTTACCTCCAATAATGTCCTCTCATGTTCTTGAGCAACGACAATACCATTTATTAGTGGAACACATCTTCTCGACTGAAAATCGAAACCGACCTTGAAGCATCGACAGTTAATATCTATAGACTCTACTCTATCAAAAGTAATACAGATCAACGAAACACACTTACAACAGCCAGGGCATAGTCGATAGAAAGTCTCTTCGCAACTTTTCCAATGCCGTTAACTTAGAATATCAAATTGGCTAAGCCTTACGTGGTGATCAGTCAACCAACGAAGAAACATGATTTCCCAAGAAACATCTTACTTTCAATGTGTACACCACCAGGAGGACACATGCTTGGCTTAAACATGTCAATATTACCATAGTGATTTTTTGGGACAATCCCCTACATTAATTAAATAAATCTTTCGTTTATCCGATTATATGATAACAATCATACACAACTCCTCCTTACATTAATAATAGGTTTCGCTCTATAAACTTCAGTCTGCCATTCGCCATATAATGCAACTTCCAGAGGACCGTCGTCTTTCATTCGCCGCTTTGACAT